ACAACAGCCAAGCCTGAGCCAGTCCAAAGCCAGGAGCTTCCTCCAGGTCTCCTATGTGGGTACAGGGGCACAAGGATTCAGTTCATGCTCAACTGCTTTCCTAGGCCATGGGCAGGGAGCCAGATCAGAAGTGGAGCAGCCAGGATTTGAACTGGCACCCATATGGAATGCCAGAACTGCACACTGCAGCTTAAACGGATGCACCACAGTTCCTGCTTCAAATCTTCCACTTTTCTATGCAGCTTCCTGTTAATGTGCCCATGGTAAGAAACAGATCATGGCTCAAATAGTTGGGTTCTTGTGACCTACATGGGAGACCTAGATACGGATCCTGGCTTCTGGCTTGATCCAGCCCTCACCTTTGCAGATATAGGAGGGGTGAAGCAGTGGATGGGAGATCTATCTATGTCTCTTTCTCAGTTTATCTCTGTTTCTTAGAAATAAGTTAAATATGGCATTGGCACCGTGGCTTTTGAGACCTAACCTCTACCTATAGTATCGGTATTCCATACAGGAGCCAGTTTGAGTCCCAAGTACTCCACTTTCAATCCATCTTCCTGCTAATGGCCTTGGAAGCAGTGGAGGATGGCCCAAAGTCTTGGGACCTTGCACCCCCGTGGGAGATCCAGAAGAAGCCCCTGGTTCCTAGCTTCAGATCAACCAGCTTTGGCAGTTGAAGCCATTTGAAGTGTGAACTAGTGGATGGAAGATCTCTCTACCATCTCTCTCTGTACTCTTTCAAATAAATAATTTTTTTAATTTTATTTGAAAAGCAGATCTACAGAGAGGAAAGACAGAAAGATCTTCCATCCACTGCTTCACTCCCCAAGTGGCCACAGTGGCCAGAGCTGAGCCGATCTGAAGCCAGGAGCCAGGAACATCTTTCAGGCTTTCCACATGGGTGCAGGGTTCCAAGGCTTTGGGCCATCCTCGACTTCATTCCCAGACCACAAGTAGGAAACTGAATAGGAAGTAGAATAGCCAGGACATGAACTGGGGCCCGTAAGGGTCCTGGAGCTTACAAGGTCAGGATTGACCTGTGCCCAAATAAAATCTTTAAATAAGCAAATGAATAAGGGGATGACATGGTGGCTCAAAGTGCTAATCTTTCACTTGCAGCTCCGGCATCCATATGGGCACCAGCTCAAGTCCTGGATGCACCACCTCTGATTCAGCTCCCTGCTTATGGCCTGGGAAAATAGCAGAAGATGGCCCAAGTTCTTGGGACCTTACACTCATATGGGAGATCCAGAAAATATGCCTGGCTCCTGGCTTCAGTTGGCCCCAGCTCTAGTTGTGGTGGCTACTCGGGAGGTTGAACCAGAGTAGCTTTGAAAATTAAATGAAATTAAAGAACACAAAGGTGAAATAACCAGTAAGTGGTAACTTTCTTCTAAAATTAACATAGCTTGTAATTTTGTAATTGAAAACAGAGGAGACTCTGACCTAGACTATCTCTATTCAAAGGTTGTTAATGATAACATTTTGGTCAGTACTATCCCATCATCCTTCAGTAGGTATATACATACATATACATGAAGTTGTACATCTGCATCTAAATATGCATGAATCTACAGAGAGGTTTGGACAACAGTGACCACATGGCACACTAGAATTGAGTTTCTACCTCCTGGCTTCTGCCTCACTCAGTCCAGGCTATTGCCAACATTTGTAGAGTAAATCAGTAAATGAGAATTCTCTGATGTTTCTCTCCCCAACCTCCCTCCGTCCCTTTCAGGGAAAAAAAAAAAAAGTAAAGCAAAAATAGGTGAGTTGAATGAGTAAAGTTTTCCAGAACCAGGCTATTGTGCTAGCAGATATTTTACTTTTTTTTTTTTAAGATTTGTTTGTTTTTATTGGAAAGTCAGATACACAGAAAGAAGGAGAGACAGGAAGATCTTTCATCCGCTGGTTTACTCCCCAAGTGGCCACCATGCCCAGAGCTGAGCTGATCCAAAGACAGGAGCAGAGACTTGGCACCCTGCACCTGTGTGGAGACCTGGAGGAAGTTCCTGGTTCCTGGCTTCAGATCTGTGCAGCACCAGCCGTTGTGATCACTTAAGAGTGAATCACCAGACGGAAAATCTTCCTCTCTATCCTCCTCTCTGTGTATCTGACTTTGTAATAAAAATAAATAAATCTTTAAAAAAAATTTTTAAAAAAAGAGGATAATGATCTCGGACCAGTGCAGTGGTGCAGCAAGCTAACCCTCCGTCAAGATGATAAAGGGACCCAATATATATTTTCCAGACCTTTCAGGAAATATGAGATGTTCTTTGGCCACATAAATGCACATCTAAAGAAGGGTAATATTGTAGACATAAAATAATTGGATACTGTTCAAGAAAAAATGCCCCAAAAATGTTACCTTAGCAAAACTGGAAGAGCCAGCAGTGTTACCTGGCATACTATTGGCATTATTGTAAACAGTTTAAGGGAAAAATTTGCAAGAGGACTATTGTGCACTAATGAAGCACCCCAAGAGCAGAGAGAGCTTTCTCAAACATGCAAAGGAAAATGATCAGGAAAAGAAGGAAGCCAAAAAGAAGGGTGTGGGTTCAACTGTTCCACTCAGAGAAGCCCACTTTTATAGAACCAGTGTAAAGTAAGTGGAATTGCTCAAACTTACTCACTAGGAATTCATAGCATAATAACTGTAAAATAAACAAATTGTCGGTGAGACAGGTTATAGTGCGATGCAACAAGCACACAGTTTAAGTTATTTACTATTCCTAAAATGCTGCTCAGTAAATTAAATTTCTCCATTGACTATGTCTTCTTATCAATTCTGTCTCCCTACAATTTGATTCTGACTGTGACATCTGCCTTATAAACCATGAGAAATTTTTTGTTTCAAGTAATTTTCAATTGGGTTTTTAACAATTACATCAGTCTTTATCTATTTGGAAGACATAATCTCACATACATTCACGTACACACACACACATAAACCTTCCAACCAGTGGTTTACCCACCATATGCCTACAACATTCAGGACTGGGCCAGGCCAAAGGCAGGAGCCTGAAGCTTCATTTAGGAATGGCAGGGACCAAAGTAATTGGTTCAACATCTGCTACCTTTCAGGCACATTGGCTCAGAGCTGGCCTGCAAATCAGCATTGGAACTCCATCCCAGGCCTCTGGTATAGGATACAGGCATCCCAAGCAGCGACTTAATGTCATGATGCCTGCCCCAACATTTACAGTTTTGGTTACATGACAGATGTAAATATGATTACCAAGATATTGAAATATGACCTCATTTTAATCAAACAGCCCTGATGAGATGACTAGTGGCATCTTTGTCAGTTTTCTGACATAGCTAAGACTCAGGCTAACATGCCCAATATCATAAACCTGTTGAACATCATGGACTAGATTCAAAACCAGTTCTTTCTGGCTTAAAACCTACTTCTATACCCTTCAGACTGCATCTTTACATATCAGAGTCCTCTGGCTGTTGTGTATTTCTGTACCTCAGGTTTAGCATATTAATGTCATTACCTTTTTTTTTAGGATTTTTATTAGAAAGTCAGATATGCAGAGAGGAGGACAGACAGAAAGATCCTCCATCTGATGATTCACTCCCCAAGCAACTGCAATGGCCAGAGCTGCGCCGATCCAAAACCAGGAACCAATAGCCTCTTCTGAGTCTCCCATACAGTTGCAGAGCCTCAAGGTTTTGGTCTGTCCTCAGCTGCTTTCCCAGGCCACAAGCAGGAGGCTGGATGGGAAGCAGGGCCGCCAGGATTAGAACCAGCACCCATATGGGATCCCAGCATGTGAAAGGCTAGGACTTTAGCTGCTAGGCTACTGCACCAGGCCCAATGTCACTGATAAGATGGCTATCAGTTTGAATGCTTAGAACTATCAGTGAAACAAAGTATAATAATAAAGTTGCTTACCAGATTCCAAGTAGCCCAAAGATTGAATTAGAATATAAGATGTAAATCTAAAGCTGGTTAGACTTCAATTTTATTATTATACTGTACTTCAAATATCTTGTCATCATATAATCTAACTTTAGTTGAAATGTAAAAAAAAATTAATCTCGGCTTAACTGTTACAGTTTAGAGCTTTGTGATGTTGCAAAAGAATTTCTAAAACTTTTTATGTTACAAAATGTTGCTTCTTTTGAAATTAAAAATCCTCTTTGAGGCAGTTATATTTAAGGAGTTATCTTTTCTAGATGTTGTAATAAAGTTTGTTGTTTAAGAACTTTCCAGAATTTACGGAGAATTAAAGTAGATTAGTGGTGAATGCCTCTGGTTCTAAAATTAGACACTCTTGTTTAATCATGATTAGCATTTATTTGGGAGATGGTGGAAAAATCATTTAACTTATCTGAGCCTTGATTATTTTTCCATACCTTACACAACAGGCATTACTTATTGCTGCTACTCGTTTAGATTTTGCTGTTATTCTTTGTAAAACAGAACCATTGCATTTTAGAGCTAGAAGAAACTTGGTAGTTATTTGATTTATTAGTTTGTCTTTTAAAGCCTAAGGAATAAAAGCTAGCCTGAGGCTTGACAGTGATAGGTACTGCACCTCTAAATTAAATCTGTCATGCTTGTTTTGTTGTGTTCTTCTCATTTGGACTCAATGACTGTTTAGTTGCATTGAAACTACTGTGCTGTTTCCATTTTTCTGTCCATGTAGTGAATTTAGTGTCATTAGCAGGTTGGCAGGAACACTTGTTCTTCTTTTGTTAGTGTAAGTTTCCTTCACACCCAAAAACATCAGTGCACAGTATCAGAGATGAAACCTTGATGCCCTGAAGAGTAAGGGAAAAAAGAAAAAAAAAAACCTGTAGTTGTTTCTGGTTTCTTGGTGTTGTGTTAGTCTCCTGTTGACTGTGAGCTGACATTGCTTTCCATAGTTGTGGACGTGCCTTGTGTTTTGAGTGATTAGATGAAGGTCCTCTGGTCTGCCTACAAAGCAGGAGTAGTTACAGTAAAAAGTAATCATGTTTTTCTTGCTTTCTCTCTTGTGTTGTAGAGCCGACAATTAGAATCGGAAACTGGGACCACAGAAGAGCACAGTCTAAATAAAGAAGCTCGAAAATGGGCCACACGTGTGGCACGAGAGCACAAGAACATTGTTCACCAGCAACGGGTGAGTGTAATAGAGAGCCCTGGCCACAGACAGCTTGAGCCAGAGGTCAGGTGAGAGTACAGGGCTTTTAATGAGATGGAACATGTCCTGCATGTGTTTCTTCTGTACTTCCTCAGCACTCAACAGAATGCTGTCTGCTTGGCAATCTCTTATGCCTTTTAGTAGCAGCATATTAGTTCATCTGTTTGCCACAGAACTGTTTAAGAAAGGCTAGCAATAGTACCTAGCTTCAGTTCCCAACTCTCCTTCCCATCCGAATTTCTTGCCAATGCCCATACTCCAGGAGCCAACAGATAATGAGTCTAGTGGTTGGATCCCTACCTTCCATGTGGGAGATCCAGATTGAGTTTCTGATTCCTTTTTTAAAAAAATTTTTTGAAATTTATCATATGATTTTGTATGGTCTGGGATTCCACTCTCCTCATTTTCCAGCTCCCAATTGATTTTTTCCCATAATGTCACAACTCTTCGTAAGTAGTTACAACGTCATCAGTCTACTATTTGTGCCCTGATGTCGCTGGAACAGAAAATGTTAGACATCATCATCCCATTGTCTTGATATATCCAACACTTTCATTGGGAGTCTATCTTTTGTTTGGAAGCAAAGATGCATGTTGCATTGTGTCTTCACTTCTAGATATGATTCCAAACCTTTTATTGGCCTAGCCCTGGCTATTGTGCACATTTAGGGAATGAATGGTGAATGGATAATGTGTGTCTACCTGCCTGTCTCTCTGTACCTCTCTGTCTCTCTACCTTTCAAGTAGATTTTTTTAAAAGATTTATTTATTTATTATTGCAAAGTCAGATATACAGAGAGGAAGATCTTCTGTCCATTGATTTGCTCCCCTAGTGCCCACAATGGTTGGAGATGAGCTGATCCAAAGCCAGGAGCCAGGAGCTTTCTTCTGGATCTCCCACTTGGGTGCAGGGTCCCAAGGCCTTGGGCCGGCCTTGACTGCCTTCCCAGGCCACAAACAGGGAGCTGGATAGGAAGCGGGGCTGCCAGGTTTAGAACCGGCACCCATATGGGATCCTGGCGCATGCAAGGCTAGGACTTTGGCCTCTAGGTAACCACCCATGCACCTAAGTAGATTTTTTAAGGTTAAGTAAATATATAGCAGTATAGGAAAAGATATTCTCCACTAAGCAAACATATGACAATTAAAACCTCCAAGATCATTTTTTTAGCATCATAAAATATATTGGCATGATTGTAAAAGATTGACAATGTCACGGTTAGCACTCTGGCTTAGTAGGCGAAGCTTCAACCTACAGCATTCCATATGGACAGGAGTTTGTGTCCTGGCTGTTCTACCTCTGTTTTGCTTGTTTATTTGTTTTTTATTTTTTGATAATATTTATTCATTTTTATTGGAAACGCAAATTAACAGAGAGAAGGAAAGATAGAGAGAAAGATCTTCTCTCCAGTGGTTCACTCCCTAGTGGCCACTATGACTGGGGCTGAATCAATTTGAAGCCGGCAGCCAGGAGGTTCTTTCAGGTTTTCCATGTGGGTACAGGGTCCCAAGGCTTTGGGCCATCCTCCACTACTTTCCCAGGCCACAGGCAGGGAGCTAGATGGGATGTGGTCTGCTGTTCCACTTGTAATGTAGCTTCCTGCTTTTGGCCTTGGAGAGCAGTGGAGGATGGTTCAAGTCCTTGGGACTCTGCATCCATGTAGAAAACCTGGAAAAAGCTCCTGGCTTTGGATCAGCTCAGCTTCAGCTGTTGTGACCATTTGGGGAATGAACCAGAGGATAGAAGATCTCTGTCTTTCCTCTCTGTAATGTGGCCTTTCAAAAAAATTTAATTAATTAAACACATCTTTTAAAGATTTCCATTGTTGGTAGAATATAAGGAAACACTCTCACACACTATTAGCAGAAGAGTAACTACTGTCTTTTAGGAATTATTTGGCCATGCCTGTTAAAATTAGAATGTTAAGTTTCCATTTCTATGTTGTTAGCTGAAATAAATGGATGCATATGTGTTCAATGAATCAGTAAACATTTCATATAATATTTATAATGCTGGGAAGTGTGAAAAATCAAATAACAATAAAGCAAAAGTAAATTAATTATAATACAAATAAACAGATTTATGAAGGAGAATGAAGTCAGTCTTATACAAATATGAAATGATTTTTTAGGCACATTGAAAACATATCTCATTTTGTTATTTTACTTACTTACTTTACTTACTTACTTACTTACTTATTTTACTTGAAAAAGAGAGAAAGAGAAAAAGAGAGATCTTCGATCTGCTGGTTCAGTCCTCAAATAGCTGCAATGGCCAGAGCTGGGTAGGTCCAAAGCCAGAAGCCAGGAGCTTCTTCCAGGTCTCTAAATGGGTACAGTGGCCTAAGCACTTGGGCCATCATCCTCTACTTCCCATGGCACATTATCAGGGAGCTGAAGCAGCAATGGAGCACCAAGTATTTGAACTGATGCCCATATGGGTTTTGGCACCCTAGGCAAAAAATTAGTTTGATCTGCCACAGCGCCTGTCCCATCGTTTGTTGTTTTTTTAAAATAAAATTTTGTGTAAGTATATATATAAATAAATTGAAAAATGGTTTAGGAAAATACACATAAATGGACAGGATGATCATGTTATTTTTTTTAAAATTTATTTGAAAGTGATACTGAAGGAGGAGTGAGAGAGAGGGAGGAGGGGAAGAAAGGAGGAAAGAAGGAAGAGAGAGAAAGAGACGCTGTCCATCTGCTGGTTTACTCCCCAAATGGCCACAATTGGCAAGGCAGCACCCAGATCTTCCACATGGATAGCAGGGATCCAAGCACTTGAGCCATCTTCAGCTACTTTCCCAGGTGCATTAACAGGGAGCTACATCAGAAATGGAACAGCCAGGACTTGAACCAGCACTCATACGGGATGCTAGAATCACAGGCAGCGATTACCCTGTGTGTCACAGTGCCAGACCCGATGGTCACTTCCTTGAGTTGAAGGGTACATAGTGGATTGTACAGGTACAATGAGGAGTTTTGTTATATTATTAATTGCTTTACAACAATACTCTATTTGTGTAATACATTTTAAATTAAGGATATGCATGTCAAAATTTCTGCACTCAAAAGAGTCTGTATATTATTCTACTGTCAATTTATTGGTTTTTATACTTTCCTACAGTAGTTCTCCTTTGTTGTCACTCCAGTTACTCATATCAACTGGGGTCAGAAAATATTAAATGGAAAATTCCATGAATTAGCAACTTAGAAGTTTTAAATTGCACATGGTTCTGAGTAGCACGATGAAGTATTTGATGTTCCACCAAGGGTATGAATCAGCCCATTGTTCAGTGTATCCATTCTGTATATGCTACCTACCATTGTCACTTAAAAGTCATCTCAGTTATAGTAGTAGCTATCACAATATCAGCATGCTTAAGTTCAAGTAACCCTTTATTTTAATCCATAATGACCCAAAGTGTAAAAATAGTAATATAAAGCAAGCAACAGGGCATAAAATGTGAATGGACAGATTAACTGTGATATTACACAGTAACTCTGTTGGGCAGTTTTAAAAAGACGGTATATATAGGTTTGGTTTTGTACTGAGGTTTTACACATCTACTGAGGTCTAAAAATGCATCACCTGGGAACTGCTGTATAGTTAAACAAGCTTTTAATTCTGATGGAAAGCTGATTGAAAGGTCTGTCTACTACTGGATTTGCAACTTCCTGTGAGTATAATTATTTTAAAAGAATTTTTGAATTAAATGAGACAAAGGTTAAAAACAGAATCATGAGACTGAGTCACTAAAGGCTTTTGAATCATCTAAATATTTCAGGAACGTAAGGAAAAAGATGGAAAAAAATTTTATTTCCCCATTTTCTTTAATAGGTTTTGAGTGATCTGGAATGCCATGGAGTTGCCATATCAGAACAAAGTCGAGCAGAGCTGGAACAGAAAATAGATGAAGCTAGAGAAAATATTCGTAAAGCAGAGGTAAGGTGCAGCTCCTTGTGGCATTTTACCCAATTCTAATGACAATGTCGTAACTGTGGTATGCATTTTTAGGACTAAGTTTCTACATACATACATACATACATAACCGTCTATAACTGTGTCTACAATATCATTGACTACCTGCTTTATAGAACATGTTATGTATACATGTAAAAATAAAAAACACTGAACCTGATGTGAAGAGTTTACATCATGAACATTTAATAACAAAAGAAGTCAGCACAGGTGTTGTGCCACAGCAGGTTACAGCTTAGAGCTCCACATCCCATGGCAGGGTGGGGTTTTGAGTCGTAGCATTTCTCTTGGTGATCCAGCTCCCTAAGAGTCAGTGGATGCTGGCTCAAGTGCTTGAATTCTTGCCACTCACATGGGAGACTCAAACGGGAGTCCCAGAGTCTGGATTCAGCTTCATCTAGACCTGGCTATTGTGTTTAGAGAGAGTGAAGCAGTAGATGGGAACTTCCCTCTGTCTCTCTCAAGTATATTTCTTTTAGGATATATTATTTTATTTTGAAAGGCAAGGTTTTAGAGAGTGAGAGACAGATAGAACAATCTTCCATATTCTGGTTCACTCTCCAAATAGTCATAACAACTGGCACTGCACCAGGTGGAAATCAGGAGCCTGGACCTCTGTCCTGGCCTCCCACATTAGAAGGGGCCCAGGTCACCTGGGTCATCTTCCACTACTTTTCTAGACACATTATCAGGGAGCTGGATCAGAAGCAGAACATATGGGCCTTGAGCTGATATGGTCAGCAGTGTTGTAGGCAGTGTGTTAACGCACTGCACCACAGTGCTAACCCCTACCTTTCAAATAGTTGAAAATAAACATTTTTGTAAAGTTTTTCAAAAGAATTATGTCACAATGGAACTACTAATTTTAAAACTGTCACAAGTATATAGTGAATCAGTGAAATTACAGAAGCTTTTGAAGTTAGACCCTAGAAAATTCTTACATGAAAGATTCCCTAGGCCCAAGGGTATAAGCTGGGCTTTTAAAAATAAGGAACATGGGATTCAGGCATTAGCATAAGAAGTACAGCCGCTGCCTGCACCACCAGCATCCTATATCACAGCATTGAATTGAGTCCTGACTGCACTGTTTCTCATCCAACCCCCTGCCTGAGAAAGCAGCAGCAGATGACCCAAGTGCCTGAGCCCCTGCACCTTTGTGAGGAACCTAAATGAAGCTCATAGCTCCTGGCTCCAGCCTGGCCCAGCCCAGCTCCAGCCATGGTCACCATCTGGAAAATGAACCAGCAGATGGAAGATCCGTCTCATCCCCCACCCTCCTTTCAGATAAATTTATTTAAAAAGCAAAATAAAAAGCAATCTGAGGGATGAACCAACAAGTGGAAGGTCTCTCTCCTACCCCAACACTCCTTCAGATATATTATTTTTAAGTAAAATAAAAAGAATAAGGAACATTTGGTTAAGTAGAGATAGGGTATAAACTGGCTTTAAATTTTTTTACTCAACAGTACTCAGAATTGTATTACAGCTGTGAAATATTAAAAGATAAATATTTTGTATATAATGTCCAGAAGTTGTGTAACTGGGCTCATACTGTCTGCTCTGGAGGGGAAGAGCTTGAAATTGGCAGCAAGAAAGGCAGCCAAGGAAGGCAGTGTGGCTGGCTTCCTTCATTGTGCTCACAAAGCACTCATGCTTTCATTCTTAGTCATCTTTGACATTCATACAGCCTTCCTAAGGAGATTGTAATCTCCTGACGACTGAACAGTCTCAGGCCTTTTTTTCTTTCTTTCTGTTTTTTAGATAACTACTCCTTGTGTTGCAACTGCATAGATAAATATGCATATAATGGCCACAAGTCCTCTGTGAGCTGGCCGTAGGCACAATTAGTTAACTTACTTTCTACCACAATTCCTCACAAAGATCTTACATTCTAATCATATCCAACTGCCAGGCTTGATATCTGTGAATAATATTCTCTTTTTAAAAAGGTTTGTTTGTTTGTTCTGGAAAGGCAAATTTATAGAGAGACAGACAGAAAGCTCTTCCATCCACTGGTTCACTCCCCAAGTGACTGTGATGGCCAGAGCTGAGCTAATCTGTCATAGCCAGGAGCTTCTTCTCCAGGTCTCCCACGTGGGTGCAGGGTCCCAAGGCTTTGGGCCATCCTTCACTGCTTTTCCAGGCCACAAGCAGGGAGCTGGAAGGGAATTGGAGCAGCTGGGATGCAGACCAGCGCCCATATGGGATCACAGCACCTGCAAGGCAAGGGTTTTAGCCATTAGGCTACTGCACCAGGCCCTATTCATAGTATTTTTATAGTACATATTTTATATAATCTTTTTAGATACTCCTCAAGTGCATGACTTATAATTTTTTGCATCAAAATTAATTTCTCTTTTCACTCCATTTTCCAAAATCATTTTTGAACAACTCTTGTATTTGATTAGAGAAATGGGGATAGCACAGACTTATGTTATAAAACAAAAGAGGCAGAAGTTGCACCAAAAAGTGACAGTAGAAAGGAGTCAAGTGTAAATTTGGTTTGGGGAAATTTTTTATAACTTTCAAATCTTTCCAACAAAAGAATAAGTACTGCTTGAACGTAGTGTGATACTGTAAGTGTACCAAGATTCCTCTGAAGGAATTCTTGTACTCGTCGGGAGTTAATCTGAACTGGTGTTTTTCAGACACCCCGGCGGGACTCTGGAGGTTTTGAGGAAGTGTCTGGTTGTGAGGTGATGGGTATGTAAGCATAACCTCATGGAAGCGGTCTAATCAGAAGTGTTATGTGCCCAGTCTAGAGGAACCACAGACACCCCACTTGTACTCCATTCCTGGCACAGTCTAACGCAAGGTCTCTCCAAATTCAGGGTCATGGCTAAACTACACCTCTAGCCAAGTACTGTTGGCAGACTTTTGCCTAGGTTGAGAAACATGGGTTGTGTTAGAAGAATTTTTACTGCTGTTTGTTTCTCCACTCTGTGGGTGAGAACAGTTTTCAGGGCTTGGTTGAACGGGAGGAATTATTTTGGGAAAAGTTTCAGAAGTTTTCTGGGGCGTATATCCTTATATTTTCCATTTCCAGACACTATCTATGGTGTCACTGTCTGGTACCTTAACTCTAGCAAACCCCACCCCATTGGTAGCAGTAGTGGGTCTCAGTCATACAGAGTATTCATTTAGTCTGAATGAATGGACCATTATTTCCAAGTGTGTTAACCTACACTGTGTTAATTTAAGGCTAGAAATACAAAGTGAGATTTCCATAACAAAATGTCTCACGTCTCCTAATACAAGTATTTAGGTCTGCATTTCTAAGATAGTATTCTTACCAAAAATATGGAATATCTAAAATGGTACTGCTAGTATCTTGATTTAATCTTAAAATTTTTGTCTTGCTATTATTGAAATGATCTCTCACTTGGATCCCAGCTGTCAGTCATAAAAATAGCCTAGGGGGCCCGGCGCGGTGGCGCAAGTGGTTAAAGGTCCTCGCCTTGCACGCCCGGGATCCCATATGGGCGCCGGTTCTAATCCCGGCAGCCCTGCTTCCCTTCCAGCTCCCTGCCTGTGGCCCGGGAAAGCAGTCGAGGACAGCCCAAAGCTTTGGGAACCTGCACCTGCGTGGGAGACCCGGAAGAGGCTCCTGGCTTCGGATCAGCATAGTATCGGCCCGTTGCGCTCACTTGGGGAGTGAATCATCAGACGGAAGATCTTCCTCTCTGTCTCTCCTCTCTGTATATCCGCCTTTCCAATAAGAAAATAATAAAAATAAATCTTTAAAAAAAAATAGCCTAGGAAAAATTAACTGGAAACTCTGAGAGCTTATTTGTTGCCATAGTGTTTAAGGGTTGTTGAAAGAAATTTTTGGATAAGCCAAACTAAAAGAAGCTTCAAAGAATTTGACACTAATCATTTTTATAGGTAATTTTTTCTTATACCACTTGCATTGTTTTTTGTCTTCCCATCTATTGTTAGTTAATATATGTTGGGGTTTTTTTTATTAATTACATTGCATTATGTGACACAGTGTCATAGGCTCTGGGATTCCCTCAACCCCTCCCAGTACCCTCCCCACCTTGTTGCAGTATTACAGATCAAATTCAGTTGAGATTCTTTCATTGCAAGCATATACCAAGCAAAGAGTCCAGCATCAAATTGTCCAGATAAATTCATCACTTTCTTAGGGAAACCATCTCTGGTCTGAAGGTGAAGCTGGAAGAATATCATACCGATCAATTGAAGGCCGCAACATAACATCAACAATAATTTGCAACATTATGGAATTAATTGACATGGTATTGAGTAACCAGTATGTTAAAAAATGCAAGTTCTTAACCACATCCTGTGACTACTTCATTGACATTTCAATTTTAGTTTATATACAACCAGCTTCTATACACCTTTAAATGGCTATAGTGTACTATTCAGCAGTCTTGTGTCTATTTTCATTTTACTATTTAGCAGTTTATAGTGTTGAAGCATAATTCTGCTGAACTTGGCAGTTTTTAGGATAGTCTAAACTGGCTTATAACTCTAACAAGGCATATGTCAACAGTTTAGGTGCAGAACAGTTTTAAGAGGGGTGTGCAGAGAAATCTTCAATACCCTAGTGAGGAGTAACTAATCATTTGTGTGCTACCTAGTAAAGTATATGCGAATCCACGCTGCCCGTTTCCTGTCTGGTTCTAAGTTTTCCGTGTTGATCTCTGTCTATCTATTCTAGTTTTGCTTGTTTGTTTGTTTGTTAATATATATTGTTATCAATACTTACACAAGAGAGAGAAAACTGGTTAAAATTCCATTACATCCTTCATATTTATTTTTCAAACTCAGGATTGATAGCTCTCTTGTTGGTTCATCCAGTCTTCTCTGTGTTATATTTCATTCAGTAATTAGAATGAAAATGATTTGTAGTGCTCAGTAATCAGTTAAAGAAACTTTTTTAATCAGAAGAAATTGAAAACATAAATTTCCTATACTTTTCCAAGTGATTAATTCTT